AAAAACAAGACCCTGTCTCTACTTAAAAGAAAGAAAGAGAGAAAGAGAGAAAGAGAGAAAAAGAGGAAAGAGAGAAGAGAGAAGAGAGAAAGAAAGAAAGAAAGAAAAGAAGAAAAAGAAAGAAAGAAGAAAGAAGAAAGAAAGAAAAAGAAAGCTGACAATAAAAATATATATACACACACACATATATATGAAATTAGCGAGGCATGGTGGCGCATGTCTGTAGTCTCAGATCCTTGGGAGGCTGAGGCAGGAGGATCACTTGAGCCCAGGAGTTTGAGGTTGCTGTGAACTAGACTGACACCTCGGCACTCTGGCCTGGGCGACAGAGTAAGACTCTGTCTCAAAAAGAAAAAAAAAGAAAGAATGACTTTAGGTGTGTTAAATGTATTGTGGTTATGTTAAAACTAATCAAAAATCCTCTGATTTATGACATGATGAAGAGGGCACTTCATCTCTGTGACATTCTTCTCCCAAAACCCATAACCCCAGTCTATCAATGAGAAAGACATTAGGCAAACCCAGACTGAGGGCCATTCCACAAAATATCATACCAGTACTCCCAAAACTGTCAAGGGCATCAAAATGAAGGAAAGTCTAAGATACTGTTACAGGTACTGTGACTGTCACAGACAAGAGGAGACTAAGAAGACACGATCACTAAATGTGATGTGTTCCCTGATGGGATCCTAGAAAAGAAAAGGGACATTAGTGTAAAAAATAGTGAAATCCAGTTAACTCTGGAGTGTAGGTAACAGTAATGTCCCAATGTTGGTTTCTTAGTTTTGACAAATGTACTGGGATAGTGTGAGATGATAACATTAGGGAACACTGGGTGAGGGTTATGCAGGAATTCTCTGTCTTTTAACTTCTGGAAATCTAAAATTATTCCAAATTTTTGGAAAAAAACTAACCAGAGTCCTTGTTTTGTTTTTTTTACAGATACCTACTGGTTCAATGAAATGATGCGATGTTTGGGCTTTACTTCAAAGTAATTCACTTTTACTTCAAAGTAATTCACTTTTACTTCAAAGTAATTCACTGGTTGGGAGCTGGGAGTATATAGATGAAACAAGGCTGGCCTTGAGTCAGGTAATTGTTGAAGCTGGGTGGTCAGTGTATACAGATTCACTGATGATTGTCTCCACCTGTGTATGTTTGTAAACCTCCATAATACAAAAGTTGGCAATGAACAAACAAACAAACATGGACTCTGGAGCCAGAATGCCTAGGAAGTTACTTAATTTGTGTGCTGCAGTTTTCTCACTCATAAATTGAAGATCATTGTACCTGCCTCACAGGGTTGTTATGAAAATGAAATGTCAATACACAAAAAGGGTGGAACAATGCTTGGCTGTCATCGTCTTATGAAGAGAAAATGGTCCATCACCCTTTCTCCACCCTCTGACTCACTATTCTTCCTCCCTGCTCTGTTGTACAGTGAGACCCTTAATGGAGGAGAGGAAGAAGAGTTCTGAAGTGACTCCAGGGAGTAAGGAAAGACCTTGGTGCCAAGTCCTGTAGAAATGGTGAGATTAGCTGGGGAATAAGAGTGGTGTCCCTGGCCTGGGTGCTGGGAATGGACCCTGGATTATGAACCACCCTGAAGCAGGCTTCTGTCAGACCAGCACAGGGCACTATGAGCATATATTAGACACCTACTGCATGCCAAACACCAAGGACAGGACCCTGACAGAGATGTGAGTTGGACCCTGAAGGAACTCATCAACTCAGTATATACATGGCTGACCTTTGTGTCTTTAGATTCACCTCCTTAGAGACCCCCACTCTGGGGTGTCTCAGGGCTGATGAATCTTACAATGTTGAACATGTCCCTACTTGATTGCAATTTTACAAGATCCCTAAAAGAAAAGCTGTCCCACCTAGCCAATTACAACCTTATAAAATCAACTTAATTCCAATCTACAAAGACCTGCTGAAGTATCTGTAGCACTGTAGCACATTTATTTATTCAATATAGCTTTATTAAGCACCTTTTAAGTGCCAGGCACTGTGCTGAGCCCTGGAGAGTCAACGGGGAGTGAAGGCAATTAATTACAGCCCCTGCTTCCACAGAGCCTATAGTCAAAAAGAGGAGACAGCAATAAAATAATCACCCCAAATGAATGTATGCACTGATATATGTGCTTTGCAGTAGGGGAGCACAGTCAAAAGCTCACTGGGTGCGGGAGGAGGCTTCCCCAAGGAAGTGATGCTTCATGGACACTTCAGGAATGAAGAAGAGTGAACAAGAGTTGGGGGCAGGGGAAGAGGTGATGTTCTAAGCAGATGGCCCAGTGGTGGGAGGGAACATGGTGGGTTCAAAGACTGAAAAGCATTCAGTGTGGTGGGAAAGAAAATAAGAGGGGTGGGTGTGTGGGAGGTGGATTCAAGGAAGAAGTCAGCAGGAGTGGGCCATGCAGACCTTTGGGGTCCCTTTAGAAATGAGGTCTTTATCTCAGAAGCAGGGGAAGCCACTGGCAGGCATTTACATATGTGGGAGAGTGGGAAGTCACCTGATCAGACCTACATTGTTAGGACTCCTCCGCAGTGCAGAAAGAGGGGTTGGAAGAGGGCCAAAGTGGAAGCAGAGAGACCTATTAGGAGGCTTCTGTAGTGACCTAGGAAATAGATGACCAGGCCTTGATCTAGAATTCTAGCAGTGGAGATGGGCAGACTTGAGCACCGTTTAAGAGATGAGATCACTGGGCCTCTGGTTGTGTTCAGAGGGTGAGGGAGAAGAGAGGTATACAGGTGACTTCCAGGTTTCTGACTCCAGAGATTGGATGGCAAGTTGGGCTACTTGAAGAGCCAGGAAGCCTTGCAGAAGGAGCAGGTTTGGAGGAAAGAAAAGTTCCTTAACATGGATGAAGCACATGCGGTGTGCTTATGCAGGTCACTATGCTGGAAGAGAGAAGCTTCAACAGCAAATACAGCAAACACTTTTACTGCCTTCAAGAGCAATGCCAAAAACAGGTACCAGCAATGGCTACAAAAACAGAGTAGCCTCAAGTGTGTATCTACTGTTCCAGCGGTGATTACAGCATTACGGTAATTTAAGCTACTAAGAGGTACCGGATAAACATCTATTGCGTAACCAAATGTCTCAAGGGCCCCACACAGATAACAGGCACCAGGGGAAACACACACACACACACACACACACACACACACACACACACACACACACCTTTACATCTTTACTCAGCATATTACTATATGCCTAACCCGCCTCAGGGTAAAATAGAGACAGGGAAGGACAAGCTCAGTCCCTTCTCTCCAAAGGCCTAGGAAGGTTTGGGCAAAGCAAGTAACCACAAAGCAAACATTTAGAGGCCACAGTACAGACTGCAAGGAAAGGTTGAGCTAAGAGAATCCCACCTGGGGTAGCCAAAGAGGCTTGCAGGAGGAAGTCAGCCATTTGATGGGACCGGAGGGGTAACAATACCAGAGAAGAGAGCAAGTGTTTCCAGAGGAGGTGGCCTGAGCCTTGATGGATAAGCAGAGTGAGTGTGTGTGAGTGTGTGTGTGTCTCGTGAGGGGAGGACAGGCAACGAAGGGTCACTCCAGTCCAGGCAGGAGCACCCCTGACAATCTCGCTCTAGGTGGCATCCTACACTAGCAGAAAGACACCAGTCTCACCCCAGATACCTACATGCTGAGATGGTCTATTTTTAAAAGGAATTAAAGTCCTGCTTAAAAACATTGGGGACATGTTTTTTCAGAAGGCTCAGGAGCACAGCTTCTTAATTATCAGCGAAGCTCGGGGCACTCCTTTGCTGGAATCAGTCCCTCTCCCTCCACCAGCATTTTAAAAAAAAAAAAAAACACCGCACCGACCTTTGTACTATTTCTTTTCTTCCTGCAAAGTTCTTTCTGGCCCCCTCCGCTGCGACAGCCCCCACCCCCCACAGCGAGCCCTGGTTCACTTCAGCCGAGTCTCTCTGCCCTCTTCCCAACAAATAAAGTCCGCTTCCTCAGCGCGGGAGGGTCTGCGGCGTGGGACAGCCCCTCCCAGCGTCCTGGCCCCCGGGCCCAGCCAGCACCTCTGCGCTGCGGCTCTATCCCGGGCTCCGTGGCCGAGGGCCGAGTTAGCGATGCCCTGGCGGGGGACCCGGAGGAAAAGGACGACTGTCACCGTGCCCCTAAGAGCCCGAGCGGGTCTGCACGGAGTCGCGTTCCGTGTGCCGGGGCCGGGAGCGGAGACCCCGTGCGGAGGACGCGGCGCGGGAGGGGCTGGCGCGGGCTCCCGGGGACGCGGCCCCTCCGAGGGCGACGGCCCCAGGGGATGACACAGCGTTTCCCCCGCACTCCCAGCGTGCCCGCACGTCCTAGCTCCTTCCCGCAGGGCACCAGGGGCCGACTCGCTGCGTCGGCGAATCCTCGGCGGGGTCGGGGGTGGGGGGCACCGGGGTCGCCGGGCCGCCGCACCCCTCGGCAAGTGGCCCTATCCTGGCGCGCTTCGCGGACTCGGCGTGGGGTCGAGGGCTGGGAACGCGAACGTGACCGCGGCGCGGACGCTGCCCGGCAGCCACGCCAGCAGCTCGAAAGGAATGTCAGCCCCCACCCGGGGAAAAAGTTAGAAGGCATCCCGGCCACGCCAACTTCTCATCCGGGGCCGGACTCGAACTTTGCGCCGGGAGCAGACGGCTGCACAGCCCGGAGCGACCCCGCGGGAGCCGCTCGGACCCGGGCGCCCGGGATTCCGGGCCGCGGCCGGCGGCGGCCAATCAGAGAGCGCCTAGGGCGGGCAAGGCTGGAGGGCGCGGGCAGCCGGGGAGTGACGGCGACAGCGGCCAATAGGGAGCCCAGATGGGAGTCCTCGCCCGCCCCACTGACCAATGGGAAAGGGGTGACTGTGGCCGAGGTCCCCAAGGCACTAGCTGCAGGCTTCGCTGGCCGCGGGTCGGAGACCCCCGGGCTGAAGGGGACTTTGGAGGGGAGTTTGCTGGCCCTCCCTGTGCCACATGCCGACCCGCAGGCCACAGCCCGGTCCTCACCTGCTGGAAGCGGGGTTTGCCCAACTGGAAAGGAGGTGCATCGGTCGAGGCGCTAGCGGCACTAGCCGCCGCCGCCGATGCTGTAGTCGCTGTATCCGCCATGGCCACTGACGCCCGCAATCTCCGGCCCTTTTAAAATGTCCCTCCTCGGCCCCCGCCACAGCTGCCTCTCCCGATTGGCTCTAAGCAACCGCAGCGAGCAGGAGGCGCAAGGGATTGTGGGGAGTGTAGTTTTTCTTGTCGTGGCGCTTGACAACCCGAGACTGCGGAGGCTTGCACTAACACAGACCGGGTCTCGGTCCTGCAGCCAGCCTTGCAGGAGTCCGCAGTGGGGGAACGGTGTGTATGCACGACTCTGAGGTCCCGACGGGAGCTCTCGCTGCTTACAGGCCTCCAGAAGTCTGAGTTGCTGCGGTAGGCGTCGCTCCCGGAATGGCAGTCCAGGAGAAGGGCCCCACTCAAGCGGGCCTGACCCAGGAACAGATGGGCAAGGACTCCAGGCAGAGTAGGGTTAATCTCAGAAGGCTTTCTGCAAGGAGTTGCACTGCGGAACCTTCATGCAGTTTCTTCCTTCGCCACCCTGCCCATTCGCCCTGTGCTCGCCAGGCGCCCTGACACTCAGATCCTGGACCATGCACCCTTGAACATTCTGTACCCAGAAGACAAACTTTAACTTCGCGTGATGCTGGCTCTCTTTCTGGCCTCAGCTAAACATTGCATTTCCCGGTCTATCACCCTACTTCCACAGAATCCCAGACAGAGCTTCTCTTTTGCAGCCCTTAATTTTTTATGGTTTTGGATATTTGTCTTTCCTACTGTAAGGTCCACAGGGCAGAGGCTATGACTTTTTTTTCCTTCCCTTCAGATTCTGACAGAGGCTGTGACTTTTTGATTCACTGCTAAGTCTTCAGTGCCAGGCTAAGTCTTCAGGGCTCACAGTAGGGACTCAAGTATGTGTTGGCTCTGAGTTAACCAGTAGGAGCTTAAGAGCCCTGACAGCCTATTCCTCCTTTAACCAACCAAGGAAGATCCTTCCAGAGGCCTCATTACTGAGCAGGAGAACTGGAAGGCGAGGTGAATGGGATTCGGTAGCATTTATCAAGCAGCAGCCACAGGACTTTAGGCAAGATGGAGTACTGCAGTGTAGAACAAGCTCCAGCACGGATAATGCACAACGCCGCAGCATGGAGTAGCTGAAGATTCCCAGCTGAAGTAGCCAATCAGTGAGCCAGACTGGGGGTTGGGGAGGAAAGCTGCCTGTTTCACCCAAGAGAACAGTAGAAATACTTGGTCTTGACTCTAGGGAAACCACTTTGGGTCTCATTCATGTCATGGTGAGGTGCAGGTCTGCCCGTCTTTCTGGACACTGGACACTGCGTGAGCAGTAGCAGTTAGAGTTCCCCATCCACTAATAGTCGAACCACAAGAAACAGACTTTTCTGAAAGCTGGAGATTCTAGCCCAGCCATGAAGAAAAACTTGTATCCTGGATTTGTATCTTATCTTCCCCTACTAAACTATGGAGCTTGAAAATAAGAATCAATTTTTTACCCTCTGTATTCCCCCCACAGTACCCAATAAATGTGAGTATCCTGGGAGTGAGAAAAGACTGAGTCCAGGCCACTGGGCGACACTGTGCTGCTGCCCCCTGGTGTCCGGGCAGGGGCAGTGTCATCCAAGAACCCCGTCACCTTGATTTAAGGCTGCCTTCTCCCACAACCCAACCACCTTCACCCGCTCATTTGAAAACAGGAACACAAAAGAGCCACCTGCAGCACATGGACTTTTTATTCTTCATAAAGTGCTCAGAACATGAAGAATAAGCTCTTTATAAACAGGAGTTACAACTAGGAGGACAAACAGCAAAGCAGAACTGTGCCTGCTCCCTGCCCCACCCCACCTGCAGCCTTCCTCCAAGTTGTGGCCAGGAGCAGAAACATCAAACAAGAACGTTGCGCTTCAATTCAAAAACTCTCCCAAAGACATCCCTTCCCTGGGTACCTGGGGCTCCCGTAATTAAAGATGAACTGATCAGGGCCAGGGCTGGGACTGAATAAAGCCCAGAGGAATACCTAGTAGGGAAGTGACTCCCTCTCAGAAGAGATACTGCAGAAGAGAAATACCCAATGACCCCTAAAAACCATGACTGAAGTCCTGGGTCTCTGTGGATACTTTTCTCCACCTTGATGAGTAGACCTTAAGGTAGGTAACTTTATAGGGGCTCTACTCCATGTGTGGGGCTCCTCTGTTCCATCCTGGTAGAAGACAGACATCATCCATAGAGCACATCTCCTGGGGCTTCCAAGTGAGCTCACAGGCCCTCTTACAAGGAAGAGTTGGTCCCAGAGGAGCTCTTGCCTCCTCACTGGGCCAAAAGTATTCTCCTTCAGCACCTCCTCAACCCCCAACTTTTGCTAATCCACACCACCAAATGTTCCCTGCAGATGCCTAGGGGAAGCCTGCTGTGTGGAGCTGGGCCAAAGGACAGACACTTCATTTCAAAGTGCACTGCAGCCAAGCCAAGCAAGGCCATGGGCAGAAGGGACAGGCTGGGACAGCAGCTTAGTGGATGGATGGGAAGGCAACAAAGGCTTTTTCCTAAGTACAGGTATCTCCCAAAGGCATAGTGGGACCTTTCACTTCCAGACCAGCTGACTGGTCTACACAGCTGAGTGCTGAAGCTAGACAGAATGAGAGTGAGCAGGGCAGCCCCAGGCCTACCCTCCCACCTGCCCAACAGTAGGTTTTATCCTAGGATCCTCCTATTGGGGTTAAGGGAGGAGGGGAAGATGGCAGGAAGGTTGAAGAAGCAGCAGCAGCTTGGCCAGACCCTTAACTGAGATCAACTCTAGGGGAGGGGAAGAGCACACAGCAGGGCTGCCCCCACCCCCCACTCCCATTCCCAGGGCCCTGACAGAGCCAGCCCTATGTGCTCAACAGGTGGGAAGGGGAAGCCACACAGGGGAAGAGGTCAGCAACCAGAGGCTCTTGACCCCACCCACAAAAGGCACATTTTAATTGATTTCCGAAGTTCAAACCCTGTGGCAACAGAGTTTTGGCATCTGGACAGGCAACAAGAACAGACATGGAGGCTTGACCCCAAACACATAAGCAGCCCAAAGCCCCAGCCTGGAGGGGCCTACACATTGGGGGTAAAGAGCGTGGAGGAGCTATCCCCCCAACCACCCCCACCCTCTACACATTCACACATGACACTCAAGGGAAAGGTCAAATAGTGGGCAGGGAGCAGCCTACAGAACACACGTCATCCACCTCTGTCCACATAGGTCCCGCTCCACAAATAGCTTGAGACGGAAAGACTTGGGACATGGCTGAGACCAGATCACACGGGTTACTTGCTCTCAGAGGAATGCACGTGAGGCTGAAGAGTAGGCACCCTGGCTACCCGTAACTCACAGACAAACAGGCAGCTTGGTCTCTGTCCCAGTAATACTAGAAGCCCCTCCAGGGGCTGGAAGGAAATGGACAGGATGAGGGTTGGGCCGTGGGAAGCAATGGCTGACCGTCCTTGAGGGATTATAAAGTATGTGCTAGCAACCAGTCTTATCCCAGATGCCACATCAAACTACACCTCACCCCTGCTCCATCTGGAGGGCTAAATGCCTTGTTTCATTTCCCTGGACACCCCCTTCCCCAAAGCTAAGGGGTATGAAAACAGGCAGGTGGGAAAGACCCAGGGCTCCCAAAGATACAAGTTGCACATGGGACCTGACGCCTCCAAAGGGAATCCAAAGGGCCCCCTTCCAGCAGCCCCAGTAGAGGCAAGAGGGAGAGAGGAGCAGGGGGTGACAAGGAGGGCAGACTGCACCCTGCCCAGGTGACAGTGAGTTCAGCAGTAGGGCGGGTGGGTGGCAGGTCCATGCCAACCCTCCTGGGGGTGGGGGAGAGGAGGGCTATTTGGGGGAGTTGGGGGGGATCTGCAGCAGTGTGGGCGAGGTCTCCATGATCCGCACCAGCAGCCGGTCGATGTAGCTCTCCAGCTCCTGCACGTGCTCATCCCGCTGGCTCAGCTCCCGCTCCCGCTGCAGGAGCAGGCCGATGAGCTCGTCGTGGGTCAGGTGGTAGTACTTGGCCGACTGGTCCAGCACAGCTGAGTCCTGAGGCAGGACAGAATGCGAGTGAGCAGGGCAGCCCCAGGCTCCCCTGCCCACCAACACCCTGGTTTCACCACCACAGGGCCCGGGGCTGCCTCTGTCTCTGATGCCAGAGACAGCCCAGCTGGCATCAAGACTCTGGCAGGGGTCAGGGGCTCCCAGCCTGCCGCCTGCTTCACCCTCCCCAGCACCCTGCCTCAAGACTCCTGGCCTCTCTTCAGGAGACAGTGCCACATGCTCTGCCAGATGCTCCCACTGGGCCTCACCTTCAGCCTCTTGGTGTCCACGGTCTGGCCAAGCTGGGGGGCCAGAGCCACAGGCTGAACGCTGCCAGATGTGACTGTTTTGAGCTTCTCCAGCCCGCTGCTCAGGGCCGTGCTCAGGCTGGAGCGGGACTGCTTCCTGTCAGCACTGCACTCCACAGGGGCTGCACTGAGGGGCTTCACGGGGTGGGGACTGTGAAGACAGACAGGAGATGGGTTATGGGGATACAAGGGTGGTGCGGGTCAAAGGTGGGATGCCTTCTCTGTGCAGCTTCCAGGTTTGCTGGACAGAAAGCCCACCACCTGGTACTAGCTGCCCCCCCCCACACACACACAGGCAAGGTCTCCAGGGCAGCTGCACCCAGCACTCCTCGGCAATCCTCCCGGCTCTCCTCAGTCCTCACCCCACCACCTGCTTCCTCCCCATTTCCCTCCCTCACTGACCTGATGACCTGCCTCTTCACAGGGGTAACAGAGGCCATCCTACAACCTTCTCTGCACCTGTACCCAGTCTTTGCCAGGGATGGCCCCTCAAGATGTCTTCCCTCCTTCCTCTTCTATACTGTAGCATTTCTCTAGGAGGGTGGCCAGCCTTCTCAGTTTCCAAATTTTCCCAGGACTGAGGATTTCCAGGATGTGGGACTTCTAGTGCTAAGACCAAGAAAGACCTGGGCAAACTGGGATGCTTGGCCACACACCTCTCCCTACTGGTTGCTTCCCATCTACATTTAGACAGGCCTGCAAAACTCTCCCTTGACCTTGCATTTGCTCTAGCTATCACCCTTAGTCACCCTGAACCTCTCCAGGGCACGTAGGCTACATTTGTCTCTAATTTCTTACCTTTCATTGACTCCTCAACCCATCACAATAGCACGTCGGCCCCCACGGCCCACCATGAGTGTACCTGATGAGGTCGCCAAGCCCTGCTGGTTCTCACCCCACCAATCTCTCTGTACAGTGGACACTTGGACTGCTCCTTCCTTGGGGCTGCTCTCCTTTTCCATTTTTCCCTCAAGACCTCCATCTAGTTTTCTGACCTCTGATAGCTCCTTCTCAGTCTTTTTTTTTGAGACAGAGTGTTGCTCTGTTACCTAGGCTAGAGTGCTATGGCACCAGCCTAGCTCGCAGCAACTCAAACTCAATTTTTTTCCATTTTTGGTAGATACAGGGTCTTGCTCTTGCTCAGGCTGGTCTCAAACTCCTGAGCTCAAGCAATCCTCCCACTTTGGCCTCCCAAAGTGCTAGGATTAGAAGCGTGAGCCACTGCACCAGGCCTCCCTTCTTAGTCTTAACTGCCAGTCTGCCCCTGGGTTCCCATCTCTCCTCCTCCTTGGCTCCCACCATCCCCTAATGTCTATTCTCCAGCCCAGATCCCCCCCACCCCCAGGCCCTAGACCCACGAGACAGTTGCAGGCTGGCTTGCTGTCTGCAGGGTCCACCTCGGGTGTGTCACGCTCTCCCTCCATACCAGCCCCTTCCTCGGTGCTGCCCCAGCAGTGAGCAGCACTGTTGCCCTGCCGTGACTCAGGTCAGAAAAGCAGGAACCAGGGAGTCGCTCTGACTCATCCCCTTCAGCCTCAGCCTTAACAATCCAGCCCTGCCCCCTTCCTACCTTCTCTCAAACCATCCCTCCTCTCCAAGCCAGTGCTTGCTAAACCTTCCTTCCAGCCACGGCCACTAAATCAGCTCCCCCATCCTAGTCTTGCCCACCCCCACCCATCCCTCCATACTGCTGCAGGACAATGACCTCAGCCTTTCCAATGCCTGACAATCCTTCAATGGCCCCTATCAAGGTAAGAAAACACAATCTTTCACACAATCCGGCCCTTTCCTGGAGGCCCACTATTCTGCCCGCCACTTCTCTTATCTTCAGGCTCTTATAAAAACCATTCTTCTGTCTGGAAGGTTGCCCTGTTCCCATTGGCTCACTAATTTCTACTCCTGTTTCCAAACTGTGCAAGGCCACCTCCTCCTGATGCCCCCAGGCTAAGATGACCCATCTCTGGGATCCCCCAGTCCTCTGTACCTGTCACAGTTACATAAACTACTACAGAAACTGAACCAGACCCCCAAATCAACTCTCCTGCCCGGGGGACCACTTACAAGCCTACGTTTACTTCACAGAGGACTCAGACCATTCGGGAGTAGGAGACAAAATGGCTTAGTCCAAGGCCCTGCACTCCACTGAAGGAAGGCTCATCAGACCCAGAGACACTCAGGCCCAGGCTATGGATTCTGCCTCACAAATCCAGAAGAGTGGCAGAGCACTCACACACACAGAAAAAGAACTCATCAGAGTCCTTTCCTGCCACCCGGGAGTCTGCACTCAGATGGGGTGTAAAGCAGCTCTGATGCCACCTATAGGCTGTGCTGGGGAAGGGGAGGGTGGCCAGTGCAGCACAAAGGCACCCTGAAGTGAGGGGCCAGGAGGCCCAGGCTCTCCGTCTGTTTGCCCCCTACATCTGTGGGACCCTGGACCCTGCAGCTCTCATGGACTCCATTTCCTCATCTGAGGAATGGGGACAGCTCTACTGGCCCATCCTCTTTGTGATGGTATAGCCATGAAGCCAACTATGAAAAGAATAAAACTTACAAAAAGTGACAGATATAATTAGAGGTCATGCTGGAAGACAGCAGGGCCAGCTGAGGACACTGTAGCCACCAGCATACCCCACTCCCCTCAGGGGAGCAGCAGCATCACCTACCGCTGGGGAAGAAAGCTGGGGGCAGCCTGGTCTCCCTCCCGCATGCTCATGGATCAGCGCTGGCCCCCAGGGCTTCCCTTCTTGGGTCCACTGTCTGCCCTGCTGGGCCGGGAATTCCTTGGGAATGGAGTGGGGACAGTGTCCTTCACCCTTGCTCAGTGAATGCAGATGAACAGATGTGTGAGCCAGAGAGTCCTGAGCAGGCAGGGGCCACACGGAGGCCAGTGCTGCAGCAGGCCCTGCTCCCCAAGCCCGGCGCCCTGCTCCCCAAGCCCAGCGCCCTGCCCCGACGGCCCCTCCTTCACGCAGGCCTCCTAGAGTGCTAATGCCCAGCCAAGTCACACCCCATCACATCCCAGGTCCCCAGACCTCTGCTCTCATCATCCCTCACCAGCCACCTGGTGAGGTCACAACCTCATAATTCTTCTAAACCAATGCCACAGTGACCTCAGTCACACAGCTTCTGCTGTCCACTCAGCAGTCCCCAACGCACTGGAACCCCCCACCACCCCGAAAGGCACAAGATGCTAACTGATGAAGCACTTACTAAGGCTGGAGAACCAGTTTTCTAAAGATCTCACGTGGAAAACATTTTAGTTTTTCTGTTTTCCCTCTGAAGGTGTCTCCAGCTTTCTTTTTTTTTTTTTCCTTTTTTTATTTTGGCATATTATGGGGGTACAGATTTTAAGGTTTCAATAAATGCCCATTTCCCCCCCTCCCCCCAAAAGTCTGAGTCTCCATCATGACCATCCCCCAGATGGTGCACATCTCACTCATTATGTATGTATATACCCGCCCCCCTCCCCCTCCCACCTGCCCAATACCCTATTACTGTAGCACCTATGTGTCCATTTAGGTGCTACTCAGTTAATACCAGTCTGCTGGAGAATATATCTGGTGCTTGTTTTTCCATTCTTGGGATACTTCACTTAGTAGTATAGGTTCCAGCTCTAACCAGGAAAATATAAGATGTGCTATATCACCATTGTTTCTTAGAGCTGATCCAGCTTTCTTTCTGACTTAAGTCCTGATCCCGCCTCTGGCTCCGGGCCTTCCCCAGGCTTCACCGCATCTGACCAGGAAAGTGCTCAGGGCTCCACTGCCAGCCTGTTCTCCCAAGGCCTGCCTCGGAACTGGCCCAACTGACAAGCTCCACTGTCCCCAGCCCACAGCCCCTCCTGCAGCTGAATGCATGAGCTCTGGAAGGGCCCGAGGCATGGCTCTCATCCCCTTTCCCCTGCCAGCCCCCACCGCTCTTCCCGACTTCATCCCTTACCCCCTGCACCTCATCAGTATTGTTTCCCAAACCCCCGGCTTGTGGGGGCACCCAGATGGTCCAAAGTCCCAAGGAGGCAACTTCAGAGCTGGTACCACACAAGGCTCAGGTCTTCAGAGCCTGCACCATCCTTCCCCTAGGGTGGAAGAGACCCTCACCTGCCCTAGGAAAGGATAAGCCAGGAAATGTGAACACCTCAGCCCCTTGGGCTGTTCTGCCCCCTCCACCCTCTTCCTCCCGGAGCGTGTTCTGGGGGTTGTCTCTCACCTGGCACTGGGCTGTGGCTCCTCAGCTGGTCGTGTCTCCAAGGGCAGAAGCACAAGCGGGGAGGCTGGGGTGGCTGCAGCGCGGTCCTCCCTGAGTAGGGCAGGGGAGCCCCCAGGTGGGGAGGGCTCAAAGGGGCCAGGGGGCAAGGCTGGCTCCCCCAGAGGTGGGGAGGAAGAGGTCGGGGGCCAGGCTCCAGGCAGGGGAGAGCACGGAGGGCTAGGCCCCCCATGGTGGTGGCTGGCCCAGGGCGGGAGAGGGGGTGGTGGAAAGGCAGGCTCTGGAGGAGTGGGCAGCTCTTCTGGCCCAGAGTGGATGGAAGATTCCCTGGACCCTGGTGGGGATGTGGATGGGAGGCTGGGGGGATCTCGGCTCTCCTGAGACAAGAAGGGGCTCGAGGCATCCTCTATGGAGGCCCACATGTCAGCCTGCTGGGAGGTGGCCGACAGGGGCCCAAGCCCCTTTCCTACTGGTCTCTGGCTCTGGACCTCAGGAGCCTCAGAGCCTTCTCCTTTCTCTGGAGCCCCCCAGATCTGCTGACTCTGAAGAGCCAAGCTCTCTGAGTAACCGGGTACGGGGGCAGGACCCTCAGGGCAGCTGGAGGGCACAGACAGGCCAGGCCCAGGCTCAGGGACACTGGCATCCTCCACTAGATCGTCCAGGCCCGGCTCGCCCAGTAGGGTCACAGAAGAACGGCTGTCAGATTCCTCCGAATCGGGCTTCTCTCCCTCCTCCTTGGTCTCCTGGGGACCAACCACCAGTGCGTTTGGGGAGGCATCTTCTCCTCCTGTCCCCGCCCTCCTGTTACTCAGTCCCCCTGTGGCCTTCTCTTCTTTCTCCTCCTCTTCCTGGGAACTTGAGGGTGTGAAGAGGCGTGGTGGCTTGGGAGGTGGTGTGATGGGCCGTGGCCCTTTGTCAGACGCCCACTCGGGCTTAGGCTCTGGCTCAGGCTCCAGTGGGGCAGGCCCCTCGCTGCCCCGGGGGCTCACAGTTTCTGGTGATTCTGGCTGTAGCTGGGAAGGAGGCAGCTCATCAGACTCTCCCCGCAGGACTGGTGAGGCCATCTCAGCTGCTGAAGAAATGCTGACCACATCCCAGGGCCAGGAATCGTCGACCGTATTGAGCTCGTGGAAGAGCTGGCTTTCACCTCCGGAGGCCTCCTCGTCCTGGCCTTCAGGGGTGCCATCTGGGCCAGGCAGCCTCTCCCACACACTGATCACTTCTGGGGAGCTAAACAGAGACGTCCCATCGTCTGCTGGACTCTGCCCTGCTTCCCCTTGTCGGGCTGGCGGCTCCCTGTCGGGTGCTGAGGCTGAGGCTCTTGGGTGCAGCTGGGCTGATGTAGAGGAGGGCAGGCCGGCCCCTACTGACCCAAGGGGTCCCAGGTCAGCCATACTTGTGCTCTGGTGGTCCAGTCTCAAGTCCAGAGGAACCCTGGGCTCCAGCCACATGCTGCTGCCACCTCTTCCTCCTCCTCCCCCAGGGGCTTCCTCGGGCTCAGTTTCCTTCACTGTCATGGCCCCGGCTCCTGGGTCTTGCAGCCCAGCCGCCTCCAGCCCCACTCCTGCAGGGGCCAGGATCTCGCTCCTGGCCTCTGGACACAGCCTGCTGGCAGCAAAGACGTTGAAGGTGTTGTCCCACTCAGGCAGGGCCTTCCCAGGGGAGGCCAGGGGGGTGGGGCTGGCCCTCGAGGCACTGGGGAGAGAGGGAGCAGGTGAAGGAGAGTTTAGTGCTATGTCGGCTACGAGCTCCTCGAAGAAGGGGTTGCTCTGCAAGGAGGTGAGGAACGGGTTGGTGAGACCCAAGAATCCGGATGGGGTGGCTTCGGGGGCGGCGGTGGTGGCGGCAGCAGTGGCAGCAGCGGGGGAGGCGGCTGCAAAAAGGTTAGTGCTTAGCATGGGAGCAGCGGTGGGAGCAGGACTGGGGGGGGCCGGAGCCCAGGGGGAGCAGGGGAGGTGGTGAGGAAGAGCAGCTGGGTCAGATTCTACCTGAGGAGACACGTCCAGGCTGTGGAGGGAGACAAAACCATGAGCCTCCTGGTTAATGCCGAGACTGGAAAGGCCCCTGCTGAATACCATGCCCCCACCCCGCCCCGAGGGGCCACAACACGCACACGGGCTGGGCTCGGCCACTTGGGCCAGGGACAGAGGGAAGACCCCAACGTGTCACATTATCAGGTGCCACCCAAGGAGAAAGGTGCTGGGCAGAGCTTTTTTAATCCTCACACCGACCCCAGAGAGCAACAGTCCCATTTTACAGGCAGTATCCAAACTTCAACCAAGTGTTCCTTTCTACTGTCCCGCACTGAAGATTCTACTCAGCAACAGACTTAACACCTGAAATACGGATCCAAAAACATCTCACACCCTTTTTAGGACTGAAGGAGAGCAAAGAAAACACCGGCTGGCATGAGGAGAAGAAAAGACCAGAGAAAGGCCAGGCCTAGGTACCTGGCTACACTGACAGGAGCCTGCAGGGCACCTGGAATTCTGGCTCCCGGGACAGACTAGCTCCAGCTGGTCCCGTGCAGAAGCAGGAGGTGACGATGGGCTGTCGTCAGGCCTGGCAAGGTGTCTCGTTTCTTTCAGGGGCGGCCTAACTGGCCAAGGAGGACAACCAGACACTTGCTGAGGATGCCAACTGTCCTGTACGCACGCAGCCCAGCACCCGCTGCCGGAGACCCCTCGCCTCACTTCCCTCACAGGCCAGCCTGGCCTGACGAAGGCTGGAAATGTGGTAGCAGCAGCAGCAACTCTGGGAAAACCCATCCCATGACAATACTCCTACACTCCCAAAGACACCAGAGAATGCCTGCTGGCCTTCAAGTGTCCTCTTCAGGGTCCTCTCCAGGAGGAGCACCCCCTGCACTGGCAGCGTGTCCAACTCCAGAGATGTAGGCAGGGCATGCTCTGAAACTAGAGCTTTCCACGTTCCCAGGACCCAGACAGAAGGCCGGGGAAAAACAGTGGAAAAGAGGGGAACGGTGGTCTGCACCTGCCTCGCAGCTGAGCCCCCTGTTAGAGCCAGACCTCGGTGGCCTCACCTTTGCCCTCTCTCTCCTCACTGCCAGCCTCCACGCCCCTGCTCTAAGCCCCCAAGACTCCCACATTCCTTGAGTCCTGCCCGCCCAGGTGGAAACATTCTGGAGAAACCCCACATATCCATCTTCTCTCCCCAACCAGCTTCTTCCACAGGAAATGCCTCGGTGAGCCCTGAGGGGACAGAAGCCAGCTCCACCAGCCCCCTGCCCTGAGGAGTGCACACTGGGCTAGGAGGGACCCTGTCTAAGGAGGCTGAGCTGTCTGGAGCTTGCCAGGATTCTTCTGGGAGCCTAGGGTCCCCACAGGGCAGGTCCACACACAGAGCTGGGCCAAAGCAGGGTCAGCTCATCAGTAAACGCCAGGGGCAGAAGACAGGAAGGAGTCTTGGGTTCATCCAGAAGCAAAGGTAGACCCCCCAAATGGTTAGGGGACAGGGAGGTCAGCCTCACAGACAGGACACAGCTAGTTCCCCAACTCATGGCTTTCTCATAAGAATCCAACCTCCAGAGATCCTCCTGACCCTATTTTCCCCCCACAACAATACCCCATCCAAAGGTGGATTCTCAGTCTCATCCCCACCACCCAGAGATTGGGGGGGAGATAAAAATCCCATCCACCGGTACCTCACCTGGCTTCCCAGCACTACCCCACTTCTAAGGACATTGTGAACATACTGAAAGAGGGAGAGTCCAGGGCTCAGAGTCCCAACCCCAGCAGATGTCCCTTGTCCCTTCATTCCAGGAGGCCAGTGCCAACAGGAGTGACGAGGGGTGCACCACCACCACCACCGTGAGGGTAAAGGCCCTGACCCAGCCCACATGCAATCAGGGTTTTTTGATTTGGCACTGGCGGGTTTAAAGCGCGCAGTCTTGCCTGTCCTCAAACACTCTACATAGCCAGTGCTGCAGCTCCGAGTGGAAGGCTCACAACGGCCCATCACAGCCCAACGCTGCCAGTAAGACTCAGGCCCTAGGAAGAGGGCTGGGGGCTTTGCGCTACCTATCTCCCCATCCCTGTTTATGATAGGGCCACAGTAGTCTGTGGGGAGACAGCCCCATCACCACTAAAGAGCTCAGCTTAGCTCTACGCGCCTCAGTCCCAGCCCAGCCCGCACTCACCCTCGCAGCAACCTGACTGGCAGCCAGACTGCAGGAACAGGAGAGTGGACTGGGAGCGCCAGGCTAGGCTCAGCAACCTCCCTCTCCCCACTGGCTCCCCAGAGGCACACACCGACCTGTTGGTATGGAATCGGCAAAGGGCTCTCCCTGGAGGAAGGGACTCCAGGCGCCAGGATGGCAGGTTCCCAGAGCAGGTGGTACCTCTGAGAGCAATCTGTCCACCCGCCTACCCAGCAACACGCCCCTCCTTTGTGCCTTCCTCTCCCTTATTCCACACCAAGTGCACATTCTGAAGGGTCTCACTTCAAAATGTCCCCTCCCTGCCACTCCACCTGGCCCAGATGAGAGAGACATTCTCTTTGCGTGGTTATTTTTGCAGGTTGTGCTCTGAGCCTGGCACAGGCTCCCCACTCCCCAAGTAGTGGGGGCAGTGACATAGTCTGATTTGTCTTCTTTTACAACCAAATATTGGGGAAAGAAATCAGAAGTCCAAATATCTCTGCCCTTTCAACCTGAGAGAATAAAACTATAAGGCCTGCAGGAACCCTGGAACAAATTGTTGAACCTGCCACTGAAGGCAGGAATCCCGTTTACTCCAACAGACTTCTTAAACACCACGCCATAGGGCCACCTCTGCAGCTGGAGGCCAGGTGTCACTAGTAGACAGCTCTTCCTTAGGCCGAGATGAACTCTGCATCCTTGTTAGTTCCACGCATTGGTCCCAGAGGTGGCAAGTGGATCTGCGCAGGCTCCCCACCAGGCAGTTCCCCAAAAGACCAAAGCCAGCCTTTGAGCCATGCCCACCCCCAGCAACACCTGCAGCCATCCCTCCTGAGGCATGACTTCCTGCGATGTGCCTAACGTCCAGGAAACATATCCAGGAAATGGACACATCGTCTGCCATCATCTGGGCGTGATGAAGTGACAGAGAGGGGCCTTGTAAGTTATAAGCAGGGAGACCATATAACTTATCTTCCAAACCAGAACACTGTTAATATAGTAACTATACCAAGAAAACAGGCACAGTAGGAAGTAAGGCCACACTAAGTCACGAGGCACACATTATAGTTATTCATTTACGACACCAAGAATGCAGCCCAAGGCCAGGCGTAGTGGCTCACGCCTGTAATCCTAGCACTCTGGAAGGCCCAGGTGGGTGGATTGCTTGAGGTCAGGAGTTCAAAACCAACATGAGCAAGAGCAAGACTCCGTCTCTACTATAAATAGAAAGGAATTAATTGGCCAACTAATATACATAGAAAAAATTAGCCGGGCATGGTGGCGCATGCCTGGTAGTCCCAGCTACTTGGGAGGCTGAGGAGAAGGATTGTTGAGCCAGGAGTTTGAGGTGCTGTGAGCTAGGCTGATGCCATGGCACTCACTCTAGCCTGGGCAACAAAGCGAGACTCTGTCTCAAATAATAATAATAAACAAATATTCTTAATATAATAAGAATGCAGCCCGAGACTCTGAGCTCCCCCAGCTGCCACAGCACATCCCAGGGCTCTCTGAGACCTTGTTCACCACAGCTAGAGAGGGGCTGGGGCAGTTGCAGAGGTGGCTAAAGGCCTGCATAATAATATACCTGCCTCTGTGTCACACCACACATAGCCTCAATTTAAAACATTTTTGTATTCAACATTTGATCTCCTTCTGTGCACAAAGTTCCATGGACAGTGAGGGGGAGGGGCAGGGGGCACAAGGATGACCCAGGATAGACACAAAGACAATGCGCTTTGGCACTGGCTGGTTTAACGTGCATGGTCTTGCCTGTCCTCAAACACACTACAGAGCCGTGCTGCAGCTGAGGGTAGAAGGCTCATGGCGGGGCAGGGGAGCAGCATGAGTCCCGTGGCCCAGACGGGGCTCAGTCTCAACTACCCACTCCTTCCTCCACCACACACTGGTCAGGGCCTAGTGGAGCCGCCTGGGGACCCAGCAGATGAGTGCCATGTCAGAGAGCAGGAGGATCATCTTCTCAGCCCTTCACACCCTCGTCCCTTCCTTCCAGCCACCACACTGTGCGACAGCAGCAGCCCAGCCTTTTTCTGGATACTGCGCTCAATCTGCTCTGCCTCGGGCCTCCCGGTGGGGCATCAGTGCCACGTGGGAGCACTAGAGGGCGCCACTGCCCTTGCTAGTGAGGCACATCCAGCAATCTGTGGTGGGAGCCCCAGGGCGGAGGCCCCCCACATCTCTGGACCTGTGGTGGACAGGCTCCCAGGCCCCAGCTGGAGATCCTACAGCTACATTCAGTCCTTCTAGTGTTGGGTCTAACCTACAGCTTCCTGCCTGAGCTAGCCTGCCTCTCATTTCTCTCCTCAAAAGGCCTAAGCAAGCCCTCCAGGTAAGCACCAACAGCCCTTTCTTCCAGGCCAGCCTTCCCCTCCCTGCAAGGCACAGCGGGCCAGCTGCAGCTGGCAGAGCTCAGAGTCTAGGTTTCACATCCCTTCAGGCCAGGCCACTTCCCCCAAGAACAGCCCCTCCTGCCCTACCTGGAGGCACAGTCACAGAGCCTGCCCTGCAACCTCCACCTGCAAATGAGCCCAGGGAGGACAGGGATGCCTGAGGGCTCGCCAACCTGCTGAGGAGGAGGCTCAGAATTCAAGTGGAAGCAGGACAGAAACCTCAGCTTCCTTACGGCCCATATTCTCTTGACCCCAACAGGTCTTAGGAGACATGGAGAAGCAGGAGAAGGAACCTGGGGACTCTAAGTACCCCAGGCTAGTGACAGACCACCGCACCCACAGCCAGCAAGAGTCCAAGCCCAAAGCCTGGGCACACACTCACAAATGGCCTCAGAGAGAGATGTCCCCAGCATCCACTCTACTCTGAAAAAGGCCCAGAGAAACCCTACAGACAACCACACTGAGCCCAGTCTGAGCCCCTTCCGACCCAGTCCCCAGCTCCTCCCAGCAAGTGCCCTGCCCAGGTCTCCTGCCGCCCCCCCTCCATCCTGCCACCTCCAAACACCTCTGGCCATCATGGGGCCGCCAGACCCATCCCTTCTCCCCAGTCTTCCCTGAGGCTGCATATGGCCAGCAGTGTCCCTGGGGTCTGGTGAGTGGTGGCTGGGCAGCAGGGACAGGAACTGCTGCACCAAGCAGGGGAAACTGATACACCACACACACCCCTTGTCTATGAGGCTGTAACAAGGGCTGCCAGCTGGCCAGGGCCCAAACCCAGAAAGGCCTGCGTTTCTCTCCCCTCTCCTCTCAGCAGACTCATAACGTCGCAGGCAAGGTGAAAACCCAGACTACAGGACTCCTCTCCCCTCTGCTAGGGAGCAGGTTTAGGGTCCTCCCTCTGTTCTATCTCTTGGCCCTTCCCCACCCGTGCCTGGCCTCTCCTCCCACTCCTGTCCACACAGCCCTGGAACGAGGAGGGCAGGCTTGCTCACAGCACAGAATCAGCACCCTCTCCATGCTGGCTGGGGCTGTCGCAGATGCCACCCGACCAGGGAAGGGGAGACGCACGCTTCTGTGACCTGTGCCCGGGGCCCTGCCACATCGTGCTGCAGCCTCCCCTGGCTTAGAGTCAGAGGGAAGCAAAGGGGCCAGGCTGGGGTCAGGGGCTCTGCCCAGGGCCCGAGCTGGGGACTCAGCACATTCAAAACAGAACAGCCACCATCTGCACTCTGACAGTGCCCCTCCCCCAGACCAAGAGACACCAGAGAGGGCCACAGCCCTAGGGTCTCCAAGGTCAGAGGGCAGGTTACAGCTTTCAGGGGAGCTGTGCAAGCTTCTTGCCAGCTGGGAAGCCACTGGAGGTGAGTGCATGAGGGGAGGGGCAGAGGCATCAATTATTTGACTCCCCCTCTCAGAGGAAAGAGATCACAGAGCCAGCTGGGAGAAGTCCTCTAGCTTCAGAGATGATGGGGGAAGTTTGAGGGTACAGCCTCCAGCCCCCATCTCTCTACCTACCAAGGCTTCCTTACCTTGAGACGAAGCAAAGAATTCAAACAAATGGCCTCTCCCAGCTCCCCTGTTCTCACCCTCCCTCAGGGTGGGCCTGCCAACTCATGCAGCAAAACCCGGGCCTGGGGAGCTGACACCTCAATCCACAGGACCCTCAGAGCAGTGCCCTTGCAACTCACCTGTGTCCGTGTGCACAGAACGAGCCTTGGCTTAGGGAGGCAGGGTACCCCCACTTAACCATGCAAAGCCAGAGCCCCAGCAGCCTGCCCGAGGGCCACATCTGCTCCGTCCTCCCTGCCCCAGGGTCCAGGCTGCAAACACCCCAGCACGTTCCCCAAGGAGCAAAGCTGGCCTTGCCAAGGACATACCTGGGTTTCTGAGTCGGCTCCTTGGATTCTCTCAAGCCAAACCAGCTACTCTTGGCCTTTTCCTCCCCGCTGGATGAGTGGTGGGGGGAGGCCCCCAGGTTGGGTGCCCCCTTCTCCCCCAGAGAGCCTCGGCGCCCCAATTCACTCCGACTCAGCCCCTGGGTGTGATGGTGGAAGAGGCCCATCCGGGGCTTCCGCTCCTCCTTCCGGGCTCCCTCCTTCTCCGCCACTGCCTCAGAGGAGGCCACCATGGGTGTGGCGACCTGGACTGGCTTGCCCTCCAGAAGCTGGGCCCCCTCCGCCTCTCCAGGGCGGCTGGCCCCAACGGCCAGCACTTTGCCCTGAGCGCCCAGCTCCTCCTGTCCCAGCCCCACCTCTGAGCTGCTGTTGCTGTGGCCGCCTCTGCCCCAGGAGTCATCTGTGGAGCGAGGCCCCTCCTCAGAGGGGCGGGAAGAGCTGCTGTGCAGGGAGCTAGAGGGTGGAAATGGACCCGAGATGGAGCTGCGGTGCCGCAACAGGCCCTGGGGCTCCTCGTTGTAAATGTGGCTCCCGTTGACACAGAGTGAAGAGCGGGAGGCAGCATCGAGGTGGCCCTGAAGGTCGAGGAGGGCCCGGGGAGGAGCCGCCCGCACCTGGCTGGCCTCATCGCTGTAGGTCCTCTTGTGGGCCAGCAGCTTGGGGGACTGTGCAGAGTCCCTGCCTGAAGAGGAAGCACAGCGGATTTAGCGGCAGGAAGAGGAGCCTCTTGCCCTGGCCCGAGCCCTGCCCTCTCCCACCCAGGCAGTGCAGCCCCCACCCCACCCGACCCCCGGGCGCCCCGCCCCGCTCACCCCCTTCGGTGGACAGCCAGCTGCTGCGACTGGGCGAGCGGGTGAGGAGCTCGGCGCCGGGGCCCTGGTAGGCCAGGCTCCCGCTGGCCGAGGACAGGGTGCTGTCGGAGCCCAGCGAGGTGTTGGACTGCGTCAGGGACGACTTGCGGAGCTTGTTTCGGAGGAAGAAGCCTTTGGCCTTGCCCATCTTGCCCAGGCTGCCCAGCTCAGGATCCTCTAGGGCGCTGCTTGGGAGGATGGCAGAGGCAGATTCCAGCTCAAACTTCTTCTTGCCTTTCATCTTGTCCTTGATCTTGCTGAAGGGCGACCGTGGCTTGTCCTTCATGGACAGGTCGAACATGCTGGCGCTCAAGTTGTTGCGAGTGAACTGGATGGTGACTTGGATCTCTCCACGTTCCTTCTCCTTCCTGCCTGCCTTGGAGTGCAGCTTGTACCACCTGTGAGAGAGGGGACAGGCAGAGCTCGGTCACGGGCTCCTGCTCTGACACACTGGCCTGGGCTTCCAGGCCCACACCTAACTGAGAAACTATCCAAAACCTTTCCGTGTGGAGAAAACCACATCCTGAGTGGAGGAAGGTCCCCCAGTGCCCCTGGGCAGGGCAGCAGCTACCACCCCATGCCCCCCACCCACCCCACACCTTCCCCTGGAACTCAGAGACTTGCCCTTTGCCCATCCCCCCTCCATCTGAAACTCTAAGGCCCAGAGGGGTGAGGCTGGGCCTAGGAGGGACCCCCATACCTCCAGGCCCCTGGGAAAGATAGACCTATCCACATTTTCTCCTGTTTACATCATCTCCTCTGGCCAGTCCCAGCCGAAGCCCTACTCTGAGCCACCAGGAAGGCCAGACAAGAACAGCTCACTCACAGGCCCAGGGCCAGGAATACTAGTGCACACACACATACCCCCCACTGACTCACCCCGAGCTGTGCCAGGAATACCTCTGCAAGATGGAGGAACAGACGAGAAAGGCAGAAAGACCTTAAAGCAAGAGACCTGGGGAGAAAGAACACTCGCATCTGTTGAGCATCTACTGTGTGTTATGACCAGTGCTCCCATTTACACCTCACAGGAAACTCGTGAAGCCAGAGACACTACCCCCAGTTTACAGATCAGGGAGTTGAGGCTCACAGTTAAAGTAACTCATCTAAGAACAGGCCATCAGTAAACAAAGAGGGTAGACCCAGAGCCAGATTTTCATCACTCCGAAGTTCATGTTGTTCCCACTGCACACTTCCCAGAGACACACAAAGAAAGGCCCGCAACACACATGACCACTGCAGTGGGGGGGCAGCCTGCTGGGGAGGGACGCACTTGTGCACGAGTTCGCAATTTCTTGGAAAACTAAACAAACTCTTACCATACAAGGAGCAATTGTACTTCCTGGTATTTACCCTATTAAGATGAAAACTCACATTCAAAGAAAAAGCTACACACGAAGCTTTACAGCAGCTCTATTCATAATTGCCAAAACTTGGAAGCTGCCAAGAAGTCCTTCAGTGGGTGAATGGATAAACAAACTGTGGCACATCCAGACAATGGAATACTACGCACTGATAAAAAGAAATGAGCTATCGAGCAATGAAAAAACAGGAAAGGACCTGAATGAGTAAGTGAAAGAAGACAATCTAAAAAGGCTACATGATACTTGGTGTGACCCCACTATATGACATTCTGGAAAAGGCAAAACTATGGAGAATGAAAAAGAGCAGTGGTTGCCGGGGTATTGAAGGGAGGAGAGAGATGAACAGGTAGAACACAGGGGATTTTTTCAGGGCAGTGAAACTATCCTGTAAGCTCCTATGACAGTGGATACAAGTCATTATACATTTGTCAGAACCCACAGACTGTACAACACAAAGAGGAACCCTCATGGCAACTATAGACTCTAGTTAATAATAATGTTTGATATTGGCTCTCAATTGTAGCAAACATATCACCACGATGCAGGGTGTTAATAACAGAGGAAACTGGAGAGGGGTGAGAGGGTACATGGGAACTCTCTGTACTTTCCATTCATTTTTCTATAAACCTAAAACTGCTCTAAGAAATAAACTCTATTAATTAAAAAAAAAAAGAAAAAAGAAAGAAAAAAAAAGCAAAGAATACAAAAAGAAGAAACCATGAAAGAAATAACACAAGAAATTTTTCCTGAAGCGAAGGACACGGTGCAGGCACGAAAGGCCGCCAAGTACCTGCACAGCGAATACAGACCCACGCCAGCGGGTGTCGGTGTGAGGTCCAGCACGCCGGGCATGCAAGGAGACCCTAAAGGCCTCCAGAGAGGGGAGACAGGTTCAGACACTCACAACACCCGAGTCCTCCTTAGCAACACTGGATACCACATGGAGAAATGCCTTCAAATTTCTGAAGGAAAAAAGCCTTCCACAGCCTAGAATTCCAGACCCAGCCAGTCAAGCACTATCAGTGGTCAGACTGGTCACCGAAGGGCTCACAGTCCCTTGACGCATACACACCACGCCACACATGGATACCTCATACACACAGACACACGCACTCCGCCCACACACCCCTCAGCGGCACGGTGGTCATCCCCTACCCGAGATGTGCCTGCCCCACAGCGCCAGCTCCCTGAGCCTCCGGTGGGCACAGCGGGGTCGGGAGTGGGGAAGCCCTTGTATGAAAAGTCCCTATACATGCAAATATCCAGAATTGAGTCACTGCAAAAGGCTTGGTGGTGGTGGTGGTGGTTTTTTATCTTTTAATGTCATAGTTTAAAAAGTGGGGGCGCTTTCCCAGGGGCCCCTCCAACTGCACCCCTTTAGGAGAGTCCATCATGTGCTCATCGTGGGCCACTGCCTGTCCCCTACTCGACAGCCTGAGCAGAACGAGCCTGGGCTGTTGTTTTCCCTCCCAAACCTGAGAGATCAACCCCTAGGAATGCCGGGTCAGGGCAGACAGTGGCATAAGCAGGAGGGCAGAGGGCCATGCTCAGAGGGTGTGCGCGCCTCTCTCCTAAGACAGCGTCAGGGAGGGAAGGGAGGGGAGGGGAGAGCTGGGTGGCAGAGGCAGGCTGAAGGGATGTGCATAAGGCTGGCTATGGGGCGGGAGGGAAGTCTGGCAGAAGGACCAGCCAGCCCCAACATCCTCAGGCCCCTACTTTCTCAGCTCAACGCCCACCTGGGCCTGATCCTTTAACAGCCAGGCCCTAGTCACTTTCCCTAAACCAGGACCAGGTACTGTTTGGCACAGGAAGATCCTGGGAGGTAGAGCAAAAGACAAGTGTGTGGACTCCAGCCCCAGACAACCAAGGCCTAGCTGAGTAACCAGAACCTGCAAAACAGACACCCCTTACTGGGGCAGAAAGGCCAGGGACCCTGGGCCCAGCAGGTCACATTCCCCACCCCACAGCATTACAGGGCTTACCTCTGGGGTGTGAGGCTGCAGGAACTATCACTTCCTACTTGGTCTATTTTTGTCCTATTTGAATTTTTTATAAGGAGCATATATTACTGTCATAGTAGGAAAAAGAAACAAAAGAAAACACTCTCGCTCCTATCTTACCTCCTCAGCTTCCTGAGCCACAGCACAGCCACTCTCCTCTCCCTCTCACCCCGCAGATGAAGGGAGCAGGCAATGCCAGCCCAGGTGGGGGGCTCAGGCCTCTGCCCAAGGATCTTTTATTCCCCACTCCCTTATGAGGTCGCATCCCCTTCCCCTCTTCCCCAAGGAATTTGGGGTTCTCTTTGGACCTGCTTTTCAAGGAGGCTATGAGGGAAAAGAAAAGGCTTCCCTCAATATTTTTGAGACTCTCCCATCCAGAGCAGAGTGAAGCTGACAGCGGCTGCGGATCTCCTCTGGACCCCCAGCTGCCGCCAACCATCCATCTCCCTACCAGATCCCCACCCTCCCTCCTCCTCCACCCTTCATCCTGGGTCCAGTTTGTCCCACCTCCCTCTGCCCTGGGGCTGACTCACACCACCCCCCTTGCCCCCCAGTCCAGGGCAGGGCTGAACAGAACACTGCCAAGCCCCTCGGGTGCCCTGAGGACTCAACTGGAGCACGGCTTCTCCCCCAAGTGTAACCCACCCAGGCTGGGATGGCAAGGCCACATGCCACATCCCTTCCCCGCTTCCCAAAGCTCTTGCTTCCTCCTGCCTGGACCAGACAGCCCCCAAACAGTCCCCCAGACCTGCCAGGCACTACAGCCCACGGCGGCTAGGAAGCCATGAAACATCACTGACGTGGGCTGATGAGCCCTCAATGACAACAGATGGAGACTTTCTCTCACACAGCCCCATATGCAGCAGAGCAAGCAGGCTCTGGGCACCTCGTCCCTACAGACTGAGGCTCCCACGGGGAATGTGACCGCAGCATCCTGTGACCTAGTACAATCTCACATCCTCTAGGAAGCCCTCTCAGCTGCCACCCTCCTGGCATGGTCCATTCCCTCCTTCCCACCAGGCATACGGACTCTGAACCAAACTCACCCTACGACCAGACCTGGCAGCACTTTGCTCCAGAACCACTGGTGGTGTCATTTCCTGGGCACCTGGGGTCTCCCCAACTGGACTGTGTTCCCTGAGGATGTTTACTGGTGACCCCCTGGGCATACAGCTCCAAAGCAAAGAAATCATGCATGTCATGAAGTCTGGAGCTGTTGCAACCCCTCTTGTATCCTCACCTGGATGCACGTGGCAGCCAGGCATAGTGGCTAAGTGCTGAGCTCCCCTACTCCCAGGTTACCTCCCCCAGCTTCTGTTTCCTTGGCCATCAGGTGGGGATAACCACCCTTTTAGGGCTGCTGAAAGGATAAGGCACACCAAGCCTGGTCAGCAAGCAGCCACCATGTCCCCCTTTAGTCCTGTCATTCCTTCCCACAACCAGGAGCTCCCAGGATTCTTGCTCTTGAATCCCTAACACTGAGCACTGCCTGGCCTTCAAGCAAGCATGTAGCTCCTTTAACAAATATCCAACCTCAGCTCCCCAGGACTGGCTGTGGGGGACGCAAGCCCTGGCCTCCACTTTTGGAGTTTCTGCACCTCCTGCTACCCTCACCCAGGCCTTCTCTCCCTCTCACTGCCTTCACCCGGCCTGCCCGGTGGGCTGTTGCAGCCCTAGGAACACTGAGGCCCAAGCTGAGCCCTGACCTCTTCACTCCCACCCAAAATTAGGATTTGACCAAGGCTCCAAAGTGCATCTCCACAGCGGCTCACAAGACAGCTCTCATCCTCAGAGCACTACAGCCATGGCACCTAAACCTGCCACGAATCAGTGTGGGGTATTTTGTACATATATACTGACACCAAGACACAACCCAAACTTACTGAACTACAAGGTCCAGGCATAGGAATCTGTATTTGTAAAGTGGGGTAGGGGGCTCCGCAGGTGGCTCAATTCACCAACCCCCAGCCCCCTGTGGGGACCATAGTGGGCTGCTCCCTGCCCTCTCTACAGCACTTCTGAGTCAGAGGCCAACTTTCCTTCCACCTGGGCTCATCCTCAAGGCCACTCAGTTGGTAGCCAGGAGAAATCTGTGAATCTCCCCTGCCCAGCTAAGTCTTGCCTTCCCAAATCCCAAGGACATACTTCTGAGAGGACAGGACTGACCCTAGAAATGTTCATCCACACGGCGGCGGGGGTGGGGAGGACCATTAAGCACTTTCCATAAACTAAGAGTGCTAAGAGGAACTAGGCCTTCTTTCCATGAAACCACTGCTAAAACAACACTCTCACCAAAACCCAGTGAGCACCCGATAAGGTTAGCTCTCGTTAGTTTCATTAGGAGGAAGGACAGTGATTCTGCCCTAGTGCAATCCTGACACCCACCTGATTCTCAGAGCCAAGTTCCCTGACCCCTACAGCATGCAAATCACCAACATGCACTTCCTCCACTGCAGGTGCTAAACTGTTCCACCTGCATCGCACCCCCCTTGCCACCCCGTCTCTCCGTCAGGTGCGCCATCTGGGGCACCTGAACTCCCCAAGGCCCAGGCAGCACGTGCTCAAAATACAAGGGTTTTGACAAAGATGATTATCTGGGACTTGTCCCAGGTGCCTCAGCAGCCAAGACATGATGGGCACCAACAGGAAAGGCAGAGTAACAGAAAACTCCTGCACCAGAAGAGGCACATGCAGATACGGACGCTGACACACATCGGTGCTTCTCAAACCTCAAAGTGAGGAAAATCACCGGGTCTTGTTCAAATGCACACTCTGATGCCCAAGTGCAGATGGGCCTGAGAGCTCCTTTTCTGCCCAGCTCCCAGGGAATGCCCAGGCTGCGACTGGCCCAGGGCCCACACCTGAGCGGAGGGATATACTTGATGGGGCTGGAGACCACTGAGAGCTAACCTTACTGGGTGCCGGCTCTGTCCCTGTCTTACTATCCACACAGTCCAAGAGATGGGATTCCCATTTTGCAGATGAGCAAACTAAGTTGTGGAGAAGGTTTCTAACTTACCCAGGGCCACACAGCTAGTAAGTGATGGAGCTGGAACTTGAACATCAAAGGGCCTGACCCCAAGCCCACGCCCTTCACCTCGAGGGTTAGCATCTCTCAGAGAGCTGAATGCAAACAGTCCTGCCCTGAGCACCCTGAGAGGACAGAAGCTGGAGCAGGCCTGGATGCACATTGCAGGCCCTGAAGAGGCACGGGGGTGGCGTAGGAAGACCAGACTTCCCTTCAAAAGGCTGGCACAGTCCCAGTAGCACAGAACCCTGAGAGGCAAGTGAAGGAATCTCAGCATTTTGTCCTATCCCCGGCCCCTCAAAAGTCTTGTCTGAGAGCAGCACAGCCTCCCCCAGTAGTCACCAGGGTCCAGAATTCCTGGGAGGGCAGGACCAGGGGAAAGTTCTTGAAGGGCCCCTGTTCAGCTGAGAATTCCTCCCCCAAGCTCTGTCTGCATGACAAAGTTCAGCAGGCCCGGAGTGGACTTAGGACTCGGCCCTCAGCCTCCTTCTACCCACTCTAGGAGCAGAGGACAAAAGTGGGATGTGAGGGGTGGAGGGGAGCAAGGGTGCTCACCTGTCACCAAGATTACGGCCCTAGTTATTCCTACTGGTGGGGTTCTCTGGCCCTCACACCCAGCTCCCCACCCAATTCCCAGGAAACGCAGCTGGGCTGATGCCATGCAGCATTCCTGGGGAGGCCCAGTACTCAGGGACAGCCAACCTGGGCAGCTGTCAAACATACCCACACAAGTGCCTGTCAAATGCTGGAGTAGTGGGGCCCAGGGGCAGCTGCAGCCGCAGGCCCGGACACACCTGATTCCCCCCTAAATTCTTATCAGCCCAAAATTCAGACCCAAATAACTGTGCCCCTTTCAAATCCACACCCATCATTTATTCTAGATCCCAAACCCAGGAACCAGCTTTGTCTCTTTTTTCACCCTTTATGCCCCACATCTAGACTTTGAACTCTGAGTTCTATCTGCAAATTATGTCCAGAATTCTGCCCCTCTCACCACTGTAACCCTATGGTCCAGTCCACCACCACCCCTCTGCTAGACATTCTAACTCCCTGCTTACCTGCCTCCCAGCCGTCCACGTTCCACCCAGCAAACACGTGAAAATGGAGTATGTCACACCCGCCTCCTCAGCATCTTCTGGGTCTTGGCTCCTATGACTCTCTGCATCTCTCATTGCACTAGGGCTCCATGGGCCTTCCTGCCGTCCCTGGATCCACTGGGTGTGTACCTATCTCAAGGCCCACTGCATGTGCTGTCCCTTCTGTCTGAGACACAGCCAGATGTTCCTGCCACGGTTCACTCGCTCCCTCTAGCCAGGGCTCTGTGCATCCGAGGCCCCACCATCTTCCCGGGGTACCCCAGCTGCAACCTCCCTTCGCCCTATTTCATTCCTTCACTGTATTTACCAGAACCTGGCACTGTACGTACATGTGTACATGAATTATACTAACCGGGTGTCCCCATACGTACCTCCACACGGTGAAATGCTGCACAGGTACAAGGCTTGAGTGTCTCTTCCCTTGCTCTGCAGCCAAGAGCTTTATTCAGCTCGTCTCTGCATCCCCTTAACAGCACTAACAGTGGACACTCAAATATTTGTTCAACAAGCCAACAAACTAATCTACGACTCTCACTTAGGTACTTGTTTGTCCCTGTTCACAGCTGCTCCATGGTTTCTCTATCATCACAAGCCCATGGGTCTTACCCAGGAGAGCCAGCACTCCCAAGGAGCAGAGGGTCCCCCTCTGCCCACCAACTCCCCAAAACAGGAGCCTCCAGAGGGCAGGAGCCAGAGGTGCCAGGCTTATAGGGGGGAGTTCTGAAATGGAACCTTCTTTAACGGGGTGAGTCCTCCTCAGCTCCCACCTCTGAGCTAAGGATTCCACTAACTCCCTGGAGAGAAGCAGCCCAGCCAGAGGTGGGAAGCGCCAGCCTTGGGAATGGAGGAGTTGGTGAGTGGCTAAACGCAGTGGCTGTGCAGCCAGGCTGCGTGATCTCAGGCAGGTTCTGAGAAGGGGTCCATGGCCCAAAAAGGGCTGAGAACATCTGCTCTACAGTGAGGAGGGAGTAAGCCAAACAGAAGGCCGGGTCCTGCCCTCCCTGCCACCCATGGCACCCAGGCTGGGAGCCAAAAGCAGAAGCTGGACATTGCTCCCATTTCCAAACCCAGGGGCACGGAGGGCCTGGTGAAGGGCAAGAAGCTGGCTGAAGGGCCTCAGACTCCCCAGAGTCACGCCACAGTGCTCAGGCTGACCCTCAAAGCCTTGCATGCCAATGAAGGTGACTCCAGAGAAACAAAAACAGCCAAGTGTACCTGCTAGCTGGGAGCAGACTGCTCCTGGAGCTTGTTTTGATCATGCCTCCAACACCCGTCTCCAACTTCCCAGGTTGGTCCTCACCTGAGCCTCACCTGCTACAGCTGCAACCCACCAGCTTCCTTTTTCTAGCTACAGCTGCTGCCTGGACCTCTTCAAAAATAAGCCTTAACTTAGCCAGTGAACAGCTGCCACCATGCTAGGATGAGGGGCCTGCAAAGCTGACAGTTTCTAGGAACCAAATCCCACCCTCTGAGGCAAACAAAGTCAGTATGCACTTAGTAAAGAAAGACAATTGTGCTGGCCAAAAATACTGGCTAGGAGAATCTTCTAGAAGGGAAAGTAAGATACCAAAGTAAAGGGGAGGAAAAAATACTGATCCAGTTCTCCTTTCCCCACCTAGCTTCCCCAGAGAGTTGGTATAAACGGGAGACTGCAGGGTTCCAGAGTAGGGAAGACATGTGACTCAAAAGCAGATGTTGGGGAAAACATAAAAATACCTGCCCATAACATCACCTGCCCCAGATTTCTACTCCCAGTCATTGCATAGATGAAATCATCTGCCCTCAAAAGGCCTTCAGCCTTCAGTAACTGGTGTCAGAGACAGTAGCATGGAGCAGGGCAGGTTTTTAATTGGAAAGTCACCACCAAACTGGAAAATAATGGCAAATAATCGTCATTCCTGCCACTCCTGGGTGAGCTGAGCCAGCCTGCCACTGCTGCCGCAGAGTGACCAAACAGTTGAGAGGGAAAGCTCTTCCCTATGCTGGATTCCTTTTTTTTTAAGAACGTGTTCTGTAATATATGCTGGATTCCTGCATAGGGAAGATAGAAAACAAAAGACAGAACTGGAGATCCAGATGACAATCATTAATGGACACTAAAGCCTCTGGGAGAAAAGTTGATGGGTAACTTCCAAATGGCGGCCTCGGGCTAACAGCCCAGACCCAGTGCTTAGCCAGGGCCTCACTGAAGGGGAGCTGCGAGCTACAGACGGGGTAGGCTTCCAGGGGTGGTGCAGGGAGTCAGCCAGCCCACCCAGGAAGGACTCCTGCCAGGAGAGAACTACGGTGAAGAACTAGGGTGGAGAACTAGGGTGAAGGAACCAATAGGTCAGGGTCACAGTGTATGATAGTCTCAAGGACAAGTGGCCCGTTCCCTCCACCAGGTAATGATGTGAAACAAAGTGGGGGGGGCATGTCAAACTAGGGAGATGTATCATCAGCAGACATGGCAGCCAGTTACTCATTTGGATCCTGACTCAACAAACCGCCTATGAAAAGATATTTTTTATATCAGAGAAGTTTGAATATGGACTGGACCTTAGATGATTATGAAGGAACTGCTGATTTTGTGTGAGAATGGCATTATCGCTGCTTTTTAAAAGGTGCCCTAATCTGTTGGAGATGGCTGGAGAGGAATACTGAAGCATTCAGGGTACACTGACTCACTCACACTCTCCTGGTCCCACGTGGTGCCATTAGACCCCTGCAGAGGTCAGGGTTCAGCCTGAGGCCAGGAAACGGGCTTTTTCTCCTTGTCCCATGATGAGCCCCACTCCTGATCCCTCCCTCGGTGCCTGAGCCTTGTGCCAACCTGTGAACTCACCGGCGTGGCACCGTCTCTCTGGGAGGCACAGGGAACGCGCCAGGGAAATCCCACAGGACCAGAGGCTGGGCCTCTGCTCAAATGTTCCCCAAGTATTTGCCAGGAACAACAACGGGAGTGTCCAGGAGGAGCTCACACCTCGGTAGGGAACTGAGACAGCCATGTACAGAGAGGAAGAGGGTGAGGAACACCACAGAAACACGTAACTGCAGTACACAGGAAGGCTAAGGGGAGTGGTAAAATGACTGTGCGGGGGCGTGCGGAACATGGCATTTGTGCTGGGACTGGAACAATAGGTGGGAGAGAGGCGAGGAGGGGAGGGGAGCCACCCCAGGTGCAAGGGACACAATACACAGAGGCCAGGGCTGGACACGTGAAGACAAGCAGACACGTGAGGCGGCCTCCAACATCACGCTAAGCAGCTGGAAGTTCACTCTGGGCCCTGAAGTGCGCTGCAGGGTACAACATAGGACAGGACCTAACAGACAGTGTGCTGTGGGAAGAGGGAGGGACAGCAGGGAAAGGGATGGTGATGCCCAGGCAGGGGGACCAGCACAAAGCCAGCACAGCCCAGGCAGGTGCCATGGCTGGGCTGACAAGAGCAACTCCTTATGTCTTAGCAGTGATTTCCCATCATAAATTAACAAACTGGCACCCTGGCTTATAAAAAAGGCAGCAGCAGCTAAGTAACAGTCCAGAGCAGAAGTGGAAAAAAAAAAAAAAAGAATGCCTAAACTAGGACAGGAGCAATGGGGAAGGTGGGAGGGCCAGGAGGGCCCCTGGGAGTGCCCCTTTTCTGGCCTTGCAGCAGCACATGGCAGAGCCACCCCACGCTGGACCCTCACTACTATTGACAGCAGAGACTGTCACTCACCTTTTATTCCTCACAACCAGGGCCAAGGCCTGAGATATAGAACACCTTCTAACACCTGCTGAACAAATGACATGGACTTGGCTTGGCTTTAGTCGCACACGTAAGTTTAAAAAAATTATTTTAAGGGCACTGTGGGCAAACTCCAGTGGACGGGAAGACAGGAGAGACCCGGGTTCCAGTCCTGGCTCCAACTTACTAGGTGGCTTTAAACAGCCATTCCACCTCCATAAAACGGGGGTGATAAAATAAGCCAGACAGGGCGAAGTGCCAACTAGAGCTGTTATACTCAGAGTTTCGAGCAACAACTGGAAAACCCTTTCCCCCAGCGCCGCCTCCACCCTGAAGCCTCTCTCCTCTCCAGGTGCTCCACCCGAGCAGTCTGTCTCGCATGCTGGCAGAGGCAGACGGGAGGAGTGTGGGCCTCAGGCCAACCCTTCTGTTTCCCAGCATCTACCACCTAACCCATCCTTTGGTTCGGTATCTACAATAAAACCAAGCCAGACAAAATCACAGGACAGGACATGGCCTCTTATCAGGCCACAAGATGATTGTTATCACCTCTGGCCCCGTGCCTGGCACCAGCAATCCTCAAAGGGAGCCTGATGGTCATTCACTAGTCACCCCGCCTCCGTGGGCACTACACTCAGCTCACCTCAGACCCAGCCAGGCATGAGGAAAAGCTATAAAAATACCTGGAGACAAGTCTACCCACCACAGACAGCAACGAAAGTATGTAGGGCTGAGAGCACAATGTGGGGGGAAAGCACTGGCTTAGACATCAGAAATCTGGCTGCCATTAACGAGCCTCGTGACCTTGGACAGGCTGCTCTACCCCCTGAGACCCCGTCCCCACATTTATATAAAATGGGGGTCATCCTGCCTGCCCTCAGGGAAGAACAAAATGAGGTGACTCTGGGAACCGCAGTCTGAAAAGTAGGCCAAAGCACACATTAAGATTTGGGTTTACTGTCTATCAAAGGCCTGTCATCAGCCCCCAGGGAGTGAGGTGGCCTAGGACTAAAAAGCAATGATCATGCCCAAGAGGTAGGAGAGCAAGACCTCTGTCCGGGGACCTTCCGCAGATGGGGCAATAAGGAAGACATTCTGCTTAACCCATCCCTTCCCCAGTGTGCTCCTAACCCCGTATTTGCCCCAAACGTGGGTCATGGAGGACAACACTAAGCAGTAATGGTCCCCTCTGCCAGGGTCTCAGTTCAGACCCCAAAACAGGTGAAGACAATAAATATCCCTGTGTGGGAAAGTCAGGCTCATCACAGGTCCACAAATGCATGTTGAGAATGTTGCCTTTGAGCAAACAAAAAGGGAGGGGTGAGAAAACATACAATGCATTTGTTTGTAAACACATCAAATAACTTTGGAAGGTTACATGAGAACTGGTAATGTTGGGTGTCTCTGAAGAGAGGGGCTGGGCGACTCAAGGTCAGGGCCAAGGGAGATTTTTTTTTCATTGCGTACCTTTCTGTACTTCTAGAATTTTGAGCCAGGTGAACTACTCAAAAAAATAATAAGAAAGTTAGACTGTTTTGCTGAGAGGCACATAGGAAATTAAGCTTGGCTCACTCCCTTTCCTGGCCCAGCCCCACCAGATTCACCTCCCCTTCTGGAGGGGCAGTTTCCCTGCCTCCAACTCACTTTGTCCCCATCAGGCCTCACTTGTCATTCAAGGCCCCACCTCCCCCAGGAAGCCCACACTGATTGTTCCAACCTGGTGTGCTCTCCTTCTCCTGACCCTCTGCTTCTTTCACACCTTTTACATGCAGCTTTGTAGAGTAATGGTTCTTCCTGTGCAAGTCTGGTCTCAAACATCTTTTTGCCTTCCTAGAGAAAGGGCTATCCATTTTATTTCCCTTGTTTCCTCCACTGACCTAGGCACCGTGGTTACAACAGTGGTGCCTAGTAATTGCTTCCTAGATACTGAACAAAAGGAAAAAAATAGCAAATGATTGCATCACTGCAGGAGAAGGAACAGGATGGCTTGGAGTGTTCTGTCATGGTAAAACAAGCATGTGATGCCTTGGGAATGGTCAGGGAGTCTTGTATGTGCTAATGCCCCCCAGCCCTGCTCAACTACACAAGCCTGAAGGGGTCGAATCTCCCCAGAGGTGGGGAGTGCCCAGGAAGAACTTCCCAAGCCTCACCCAACTCCTGAGAGACACCTGGTGCCAGTGATGCTCTCCTTCCCAAAGTACCAGACAATACCTCCTGCCCGACACAACCAGGCTGGAGCCACAGACCAGACGTGCTTACCCCAATACACCAAGGGCTCCCAGAGAGAAGCAAGTCATGC